GATGCAAATGTAAGCCTCAGCCTCTAATTCAGAGGTCGATTCCATCCAGGGGACGGGGCTTGTTGACACACTTATCACAGCCAATGGGGTCATGCCGGTAACTCTGTGGCCTCATTGTATGTAGCAGAGACTCCAGGATTCACTAGAGTGTAAAGTTGTGCTGCTGGGGCCCATCGCAGGCAGCATGGGATGCCAGTCCCTCACGGGGCACACGGACTACAGGTAATGCAGAGACACCCGTTAGCCTAATTGCAGGACTTCGGACTGTGGGAGGAAACACACGCCATGTGTAGAACATACAAGCTACAAGCATAGCACAGAGACCAGATTTCAACCATCAACCTTGGAGGTCCGAGGACACTGTACCACCCTGGGAGTCACCAAACCACCCGCAATAGCAAAAAAAAATTTTTACTATAGCAATAACAACCATCGATTTTCCATAAACTTCTCTTCACCTTGTGTGCTCCTTGATAAGTCAATGTAACCAGGAGCAAAAAATTGGAAAGCAGTGGTCTCCTCCGCCAGAGCCATGGCATTAACAAACACTGCATAATGTGAATCAAGCCACTTTTGCAACAGGTAATACCCACTGCCTCCATTGTGAGGCGAATTTGCTCAGCAAGCAACTGGCATCTATTTACATTCTCTGCTTCTATCAGACCCTTTGATCGCTTGGCTTGTGCTAGCGGTTGCTATGCTGGCAGCAGTATAAAGACACCGTGTAGCAGGCGGGATTGGAAATGCTGTTGATTACACACCGCGAATGACTCTGCGGAGCTGTTAATGCCTGTAGTTAGCGCTCGGTAAATGGGCATCTGCTTTAAGAACAGGCTCCTCCAGGTCACACGCTTTCTACAGTGTTATGAGCGTCTTCCTGTTTTCCAGGTCGCTGACGTCCTTAAATCTATGTTTAAGTTTCATAGATGCTTCTCTTTCAATGGACTATACTTATGGGCCACATAATGCAGGGTTTACCGGGATGGGGGGGGCAAACAGAAAAGGGAAAAGCAGTGGTAGCGGTGCCTTGCGGGTCGATGTTTCTGCTTGTTGGATAATGAGGGGTCCGTCTGGTCAGCCCAGAGTGGATGGCAGATTCGGTTAAGGTCCCGGCCAAGAGCGTCAATGTCATGGTTTTGGAGGAGACCCAGGAAGGATTTGGTTTGCAGAAGTGTTGTCCCTTGTTCCTGCATCCAAGTGGGCAACAGCAGGGTCTCGAAAAGAGCAAAGGTGAGAGTTGGAATGTGGGCAATCTAACCAGCAAGAGCCAGTTTCTGGAAGGTCATTAAGGGACTTTTTTCATCCAAAGGGGGGTCAGCTTTCAGTACCTCCTGGATCCTCAGGTGCATGTGGCTGAAACGGGATGTACATCTTAAAAGGCTGATTAAACAAAAGTAAATAGATTGCAATACATTTGTCAGTCTGTGAACCTCCTGGAGTTAATGAGCCCTAGCTGGAGCAAACAGGCACTTAATCTTTTGGGTAGGAAGCTGGACAGGCCAGGAGAAGGTAGGAATACAAAATCAGCAGAACTTGTTCAGGGGGTTTGCAAATTACTGTGCCTGAAACAATCGGGATTTAACGCAAGACGTCTTCGGGATGTAAAGCTAAGTGGGAGGACTGGCTATTCCTCCAGGGAGTGCGGTGAAGAAATAGTCATGACCCAAGAGCTTGCTGAGACTCTACATGATGATGACTTAGTACATGGTGCAGCAGGGGTCAGTCAGCACCATGCTTCTTCTGCAAATTAGGGGAACAAAGAGCTGAGGGGAGTTTCTAGGAGAGCGACACCATGTGGCTGATCAGAAACTGACATCCTCAAAGGAAATGGTTAAATTCAGCATGGAAAGAAAATATGAACTCCTAAATTCTGAAATCTAAGTTGAACTTGCCTATGCGCTTCCGGTAAGTTCAGCTTGGTTGTTTGGGTTGGATTGATTTATGAAAATGAATCCTGAACAGGTCAGCCTATGATCGGCAGCGCTGGAGGTGTTTGGCGCCCACTTCGTTACGTCTCAGTTTTGACATTCAGGTTATGGCTAGTGAACAATATGCAACCAATGAGCACTGATCCCTGCTTGATGACCTCAGGGATTGGAACAGGGGAACCCTGCTGGGGCTTCATGGAATTTGGTTTTGTTCTATAGCTTTTTGTCAGCGGATATGAAGAGGGCTTTTAGAGCAATTACTGGTGTCCCTGTTCGCTGGCATGTTATGGGTTCAAGCACAAGATTATTACATTGTTATTAAAGTAATAATGTTGCTGGAACAAATTCAGTGGAAAAATTCACTTACTAGGCAAGAATAAAGCAACAGAGTCATCTCAGTGCTATTGAATTGTATTCTCCTGGTTACAGGTCAAAGGTCAGAGGTTGCGCTCTGCAGATATTAACATGCAGAATAAACACCAGGAACGTGATGATGTTGCTTTGGCTGGCCACCTTGGTTTCCACGCCTGTTATTCTCCGCCACCTCGCCTGGACTTGCCTGTCTCGTCCTGATATCTGAAAAGAGGAATGCGGCCTTGGTTCAGGCCATGGAGGCTGGTGGGGTTAAGGGTCTATGACCCCTGACTCATCAGAGATCATTTGGAGGGAAACACACTGACGGTTCAACACTTGCATGTCCTCTCAGACTATAAGAGTGCATTGCATCAGTCCTTAAAATCCCAAGAGCATGCTGTTTTCATACAAACCAACCTAAGCATGTCTGCAAGTAAAAAACTGCTGACCCGACCTTCTAATGGTTTCCAGTAGTGAGTGAGCGACTCTGATTAACTAACTAGCAATGTAAGAATGTGTCGGAGTAGAGATATGTCTAGAGATATTCCCAGAAAGCATGTCTAAGGTTGAATACACATAAAACATAAAATGGCGGCTTGTTTGAAACAACCGTTTGACCCCTTTGTGCTGTCTGGTACATCATGCACTTGGGGCTCCATCAGTGTCTCAATCCCCATGGCAATTCACCTGCTTGGGAGACCCTATGCCTTCGGGAGGGTGGGGGGCACATGTTCGGGCACAAACCAGGCCCAAACACGCAGGGAGGATTGCTGTCATTTCAGCTCTAATGGAGCGGCCGCAGGCTTTGGTTTGACAAGCATCCATCTGTAGGATGACTCAATAAACAGCATGTAGTTTAAATATTAGCCAATCATGTCTTCGGCTCTGATCATTAACTTCCTGCTTATTGGCTCAATATTTTTATTGATATATAAACATTGACGGCAAATCATAATTTGTGGTTGCTCACTATATCCTTTTATTCATTTATTTATTTTATCCATTTGTATACTTAAATCAAGGTATACACAGTAGGGCCCATTCTAGGATGTAACCCAACATCCATCAGGTGAAAAGTGAGACAGACCTAAGCACTTGTCGGGGGAGGATCCATGCCAGCGAGGGAAATGAATGCCATGGGTCCCAAAGAGGGTGACTGGATCTTTGGGTTTCCATTCTGCCACATTAAGCCATGTAATTAAAAGCATTATTTCAGTAAGCAATATATTTTCACAGTTGTGCAATTATTAACACCTACAAAAAAATGGCGCTTTTATTTATTACTAATCGCCCTGCGGACAGTTGACCCTGAAGGGCAAACTGCTTGTGATGGCGTGCAAGTGCCCCCCTCCCCTATCCAATGGATTCCCCACATTATGAAAAAAACACAGTAATTTCACTTAATTACGCCCCATTTTGAGTGAGTGCAGGTCAGATGTAATTATACCGCAAACTGCTCTCTTAGCAGGGAGGAAACTCCACAGAGCCACATTCCAAGTGATCGCTTTGGAGCTGCTCTCGAGATACGGATGGAGGAGCGAGGTATCGAGGCTTTGTGGGCACCATTGATTCTCAGCTAATTAGTAGAGGCCGTTGTGGGCTGGATACCTCAGGCAGGGGAACTGTTTGACGGAGGAACAGACACTAATTGCACATACTTAGCTTGTACTAAATTAATTTCTACATTGGGAGAAGCTAAGAGGTCAGAAAGCTGGGGGGCCAATACCCTCCCCCGTGACCATCCATTAATTCAGAGCAGAGTGAGTATTATAGCTCAACCCCCTTGATGATCTCTCTCCCCATCAAAGCATCATGCTGGGCTGAGATTCACCACTATCGTGTAGGACTGGTGAACAGAGGTAGATTATATTGTTACTTTTCAGTCCCTGGAATTCCTGGAATTTTTCATTATTTCCTTTTGGGGAATTGAGGGCTCCTGGCTGGACACCCAAGATGCAAAATACAGTGTCTGGAATGAAGCGTCTCTCTTAAACGTAATTGAGGGTTATAGACCGTTTTTGTTTCTTCCCTTTTCCCGCCTCACGGCTTTCGGTCATCTTATTTTTCCATCCTGCCCCCCAACATCCCCCCCCACCCCATCTCCTGCCTTGCCTTTTAAAGTCCCCTTTTCACTACTGCCGGCCCCGTCTCAAGCGTCCATTTCTGACCCATTTTAAAGAACCTCAAACACACCCTATCACAGCACGGCTTAGAAATAAATAACGAACAGGAGACACAAGTCGACTCCTATTGAACTGGCTGAGACTGCAGGTATTGCTGATATCCTGCGGGAAAAGGAAGGAGGTGATATTTCCCCAATTCATGAAGATAGGAGGCTGACCACAGCCAAACACTGAGTAAGACCTCTATGCCCATTTAACCCCTGGGAAATGGTGCCCACAACAGTCACTGGGAGAAAACCACTAGTGCATGGACCATAGTCTGGAGACAAGGTCACGCTAAAGATCTGGTACAATCCGATGCAGCGTCAGGAAGCCAGGGGTGGTCATGTGGTCTCTGTGTATTGAAACATTATTAAATGGGCTGCTATATCGATGATCTATCATGCCATTGGGCAAAATATCTACCTGTCAGCGGGCTGCAATGGAGTCCAATCACGGAGCAAATGGGAACCTGTCAAACGATCATCAAAGCAAAATGAGAAGCCCTGCAAAACGAAAAAAGTCAAGACAGTATTGACGCAGGAGAAGACAAACATGTCATTAAACAATTTATTTGCTTAGAAATCTTTAGCTACAAATTTCAATTTCTGTGGCTTATGAGAAATTATTATTCTCAATATTCCATAGGCTGTGAGACGTCGGCCGGAGGAACACCGGCTGCAGCTCAGTGATACCAGCCGAACTCATATCCTAAGGAAGATCAGCGACCAGCGTTTGCTATACAATCGTCCAGGTGGCAGTCCAGAATGTTACCAGTTCCTCTTCATGAGGCAGTTAACCAGCAGCCTATGGACCTTAATCAGGAGCAACAAGCCACATCACTCCCATTTTTAATGCCACGCTTCCAGATTCAAACCAAAGCAGGACAGAAGTTTGTGGCTGAGAAACACAGGGGCATGATGCCCCCTTCCTGAGGACATGCGCTACTGCACGTTCATTTTGTTTAATGTAGGTAAACATACAGAAATGAAATTCATCAGGATTATATTAGACTTAATGGGGTTATGCAATTGTGCATTTATTTTACAGCATTCTTAAATTACTTTTTGTTTTTGTTTTATTATATTGTCACCCCATGAAAAAAAACACTTTGACACACTCCTTATTCATTGTTAATCAAAATCATATACTCAAGGCCTTCTTTTAATTACACATTCTAAGAGAATGTTCTTTTTAGGCATGCTGTGACAAACCATAATGATATACAAACCCTAATGTATACCCTAGAATAACCTTAAAACAAATCAAAATAAACACAGCTCTGTTTTTTGTTCCCCCCAAACCTTGAGTTATCCAGCAAATGAAATTTTATAAACAAAAATGAAAAATACATAACAAATCCGTAAAGCAGCACAACATTGAAAAAAAAAATGGGGGAAAGATGGTAACGCTGATGTTCCGGAATCTGGGAGAAGGACTCCTATAAAACCGCGTTTCCTTTAGCAGTAAAAAGCCTTATTGAGCCACGACAGGAATTAGAAAAATTGGAGTGGAGCTGCTGTTTTAGTCGTAGACAAGAAACACCTCCCAAGCCATTCGAAAGCTTCCTTCTGGTGAGTATTAAAAGTTCACGGAAAAACAGTCAGCCATCATCCCCGTAAGAAAATCTTTTTGGGGAAAAAGGTCCTCTTCACTCTTAAGGCACACGTATGTTTATGGCTGAGTGTTAAATGTGTGCTTCTGACATCAAACGCTGCCGCTCTCAGTCTAATGTTTTTTTTTTTAAGTTATTTAAAGTTGTTTTCACAGAATTTAAATTTAAATATTTACTATATTTAAATATGGTCTCTGGTCATCTTCAGGACAGTCGCAAGGCACAGAGAGGTATCCTTTTGTATTGCTTGGTTACTGGGTTAATGCTCAGATTCCTTCAAGCTCCAAAGACAGATTGCTCCCATTTCATTGTCTCCTCCCTTGTTCCTGGCCGTCTTTCACCTCCGAGCCAGGAGAGGGCGGTGTTTCACACAGCAGTGGTGTCCCCGTACTCCTTGTTCCAGCGCTTGTACATGTCAAGGGTCTGTGGGCTGACGCTGTGCTTGATCTTCTTCAGCGAATCCACAAAGTCACGGAATGTGATGTTTCGCATCTGTGCAAGGACACAAATGAGAGATGGAACAAAATGAAAAAAATCCCAGTCCACAGCAGCACAAATGCATTAACTACTATACTACCAAATATCCATCCATCCATCCATTTCCTCCCGCTTATCCGAGGTCGGGTCGCGGGGGCAGCAGTCTCAGCAGGGAAACCCAGACTTCCCTCTCCCCGGCCAC